CCAGGGGGGCTTTCATCCAGATTTCAGAGAAAGAGCTGGAGGCCCAGCAAGGAGCAGTGCGTGAGGCTGTAGGAATGAAGCTGCAGGTGCAGTGGAGACATCAGGCTGTCAGAGATACCAGGAATGTGGGACATTTACTAAGGAAAACCACAGCCTGAGGGTGAAGCTAGCTTAACAGAGAGGCTGTGTGGGCTACAACATGCGAGTTCACAGAGATGAGGCTTCCCAAGTCCTCTGGAACTCAAATCTGTCTGTCACATGTCCTGGATTCTGGAAATGGAAGTATAGAGTGTAATGTTTGCTTGCCTGTGAGTCCTTGCTTTGGTTCTATTTTATCTCCTTGTTCCTGTCTTTTGGAATGGGAATATTTACCCTGTGCTGTTGTATTTTAGGATTCTATAACTTGGTTTTCATTTTTACAGGGTTTCACAGCTGTGAATTTGCCTTGCGTATCAGAGGAGACTTGGATTAATAACTTTTAGCAATGTTAGGACTGTTGAAATTTGGGGAAGGGATTATTGCATTTTTGTTGTATGCGGGATGGTTGTATTATGTTAGGAGGAATTAGGAGCTTCCTGTTATTGTCTTTGTTTGGATATTAGATTATTGTCTTTGACAATTGTCTTCCTGTGTCAACTTGATTTCTTAAGAAATGCCCAGGGGATTAGAAAAGCAGCACATTTGCTGGTATGTGTGGGTGGGTCGTGGAGATGTGAACTTGGGTCCTGTACATGAGTTCTGCTCCCCTCTTTTCTTCCTAGCCACCTTGAACTGAGCAGCTTTGCTCTGTGTTGACCTCTCACCATGCTATTTCTGTCTTGGACCACTAACCATGTACTGAATCCATGAAACCATGAGCTAAGTTAAACCTTTCCTTCTTTATGTAGTGAGTATTCTTATTGTGTCCCAGCAGTGAGACACCTGATACTCATGTTAACTTTGCATACCTTTAGTTTAGTGCTTATTATATTATCTTGAAATCATTATTATCTTGGCTTAGTTTACTATGAGTATCTTTTATATTCCTATATTCTCTGGTGCTAAGTGTGTGCTATATATTCAGAATATTTGTTCAATAAGTGAATGAATGGTTTTATGAATAATCTAAGTGAAAAAATAGTTTTACTACCAAGATGAAATTAATTGACTGTATAAGATATGATTACAAGCCGGATGTGGTGGCGCACGCCTGTAATCCCAGCACTGGGGAGGCTGAGGCAGGAGGATCGTTGCAAGTTCGAGACCAGCCTGGACTACAAAGTGCGCTCAAGGCCAGCCTGAACTGCGTAGGGAGACCCTGTCTCAAAAAGACAAAAAAAAAAAGAAGATATGATTACAAAATAATTACAGAGTTAAATCTAACTATTCAACTCAAAAATGTTTATTTCCAGTCTCACTCCCATCCCTTGTAATACATAAAACTGTTCTAGGTGCCTTTCTGCTCATTCTCTTGGAACTCTTTTTAGAACTTGTTCAGCAAATATAATCATTCTCGTCTCTTTTATTTGTTATATATTTTTGATCAGTTTGTCTTCATTATATGTGGATCTGAATACATTTTTCATTTTTTACCAAATATTGTCTGTCTTTTAAAAAGTTTTTTTTTTTTTAAATTTCTAGAATGTGTCTAGAAGCTATTCATATCCTTAAGCTTCTAAAGATGAACATTTTTTTGTGACAGAGTCTCACTATGCAGTTCAAGCTGGCCTTGAACTCACTATGGTACCCAGGCTGGCCTTGAACTCATGGTGATCCTCTTGCCTCAGCCTCCTGAGTGCTGATTACAGGCATGTGCCACCATGCCCAGCTATAACAGTGGCTTAGAAAGGAATCACAAAATAACTAATAACTAGGAACAAAAGCCTATGCAGAAGGTTTTTAAAAATAGTATTTCAGGGTTGCAGGTATAATTCGGTGGTTGAGTGCTTGCTTAGCATGTGTGAGGCCTGAGGTTTAATCCCCAGCATTACCAGAAAGATTTCATTAAAAAAAATACAGATAAAAGGTTCATAGGCAAGTGGTAACTAAGTAGTCAAATATAGTGATTAGGCATTTTCCTTTTTGATGAGTGAACCAAAAGAAGTATCTCAGTGACTTAGAGGAGGTAGATTATTTTATATTGTGTTCACTTTATTTTTCACTTGAAACTGTACTGATTTTTATCCAGAAATAAAGTTTAACCAGATGATGGCCTGCCCACCCTATTCTGTGAACATAAGGAGACCTTTGTGAACAAGAGAAGGCCTCTGTCTTCAGAAAAGCAAAGGCATCATTTATGAAGGCTTTGTAAAAATGCAAAATGCCAATGTGTTATTTGTTAAGACAGACTAAATTCTTGTTGGAAACCTTGCCCCAAATGTAAAATGATTTGGAAAAAGTAAAAGCAAAAACTCAGATTACAATTTATGGCATAATAAAAGAACCACACTTAATGTTTAAAATCAGTGTATTTTGGGAACCATTAATTCTTTGCCCAGACTAAATTTTAACCTATCTTACTTTCCTCCCAGTACTGGGGTTTGAACCCAGAGAACACTGAGCTACGTCTTCAGCAAGTCCTATCCCCTTTTTAAAAAACATTTTGAGGCCAAGCCTTGCTAAGTTGTCCAGACTGACCTATGTGATTCTCCTGCATTAGCCTCTCAGGCAGCCAGGACTTAAGCCCTCATACCTCACACCTCGTTTATCCTATCTTCCAATGTCATTTTAATTTATCAGGTGGAATAAGTAACAGTTCATTGTTTTTTATGTCTAACTCACAGGGAGACTTGGACAAGTTGCCTAACCCCTCGGCCAATTTTCTCTAAAGTGAGGCTGTACGTACATGGGTTTTGAGTTCAAAAATACTTTCAGTGATGGTAAAGTGATCTAAATCACATGTGTCACTGTGTGACTGCACATGCACACCTACTGCATGCCAATATACATGGCACGTAGTGCACTGAAGCTCCTTAGTGTGTGCTGCATCTGTAGAGGTACATGGTGGGACCAAAAAAAAGAAAATCCCATAAATGTTAAATTTTTTAATAACTATTACACTAAAAGACGCGGTGTGATTAACCTCCCGCAAAATACTTTCCTTCACTCCAACACACCACCTTATTCTTGCCGCTTCGGAAGCAGTCCGTGAGGATCTCTAGCTGTGCTGTCGTGGCTACTTCAGTTTCCTCTGTTGATTGAAAACGTTTACGTTTCATGGTCGCTTTGACTGTGGCGAAGAGCCAGAAATCACGCAGTGCCGTGTCGGGCGAGTAGAGTGATGAGAGCACACTGTGATGTCGGAGGAGCCTGCCTTTCTGTTGGGTGGAGCTCAGCAGCAGCGTTAACCAAGGGTTTGATCACACCTTCTAAAGACTCGTGACAGAGCACTTCCAAGAACTGCTTCAGGAAATGGCACGAGGTGTGTTTAGAGTGAGGGTAAGGATTTTGAGGGGTTTAATAGTAGTGTAATGTGTCTTTTTCTATAATATAGTTTAAAAGTTTGAACATTCACCGTAAATGTTGATTGCCCCTTGTATGTAGGCACCTGTATGCAGCCAGTGGTCAGGAAGTTGGTTGTGCTAGTTGCTTCAAATGCCCTCTCAGGGCCTCCGTACTCCCTCCCTCCGTCCGTGCTGGTTGGCTCGTGCACACAGCTGGGCCCCTTCCGGGTGTTATTCTCTGCTGATGGAGCTGCCTTGCCCAAGGTTATGTAGCTCCCTGATGTGGGCCTCAGTTCATTTCTGGTCAGTTTAGGAATGGTGTGCAAAGGCCCAGCTGTCGGTCACTGAGAGAGGAGCAACTCTTAGCTGGCCAGCTGAGCTGCAGCGCCCTTTGGGTCAGCCATGGCCTGTGGTACGCGGCATTGCAGTTTAGGTTTCCCTCTACCCAGACCCATATCCCCCAGGCCCGAGAAGAGCTGTTCCCAGATCAGCCCTCCTGCACACCGGTCCCGAGGGACGCAATTCCAGGAAGCCAGCCTGGAGCCTTGAGCGTTTCTAGACATGGCTTTCCTGCCCTTTGACCTGGCTGCCTTCTGCACGGTGACACAGCCACTGTGGTCGTGAGAAAAACAAAGTGAGTCCTTCCTAAGGACTGTGCTTAGAGACAGGCCTGTCTCCACCTCCCAGCCGTAAATCTGTTCAGGATGCCACCAGGAACCTTGAGATGGTTTACTTTTTGAGTAAACTACGTCTTTACTCCTTCAGGTTTTAGTGTTTTTATCTTAGAAAGATAAAAAGTGGTTGAATGTGGTCTCTAAAGTCGAGTGATTCAGAGTCAGATGATTGAAGTGTCCAGATTAATGGAATGTACTTAATGTGAAATTTACAGAGAGAGCAGCAGTTTGTAGCCGGGAAATCAAGGTCCAGCTGAGGGTTCTGTTAATGAAAGAGTCTAAGATTGATTCAAACTTGGCGAATATATTTATATAAAGATTTATTACCAAAAAGTCCAGCCCACTGTTTTTCATGGTTTCTGTGGGCCATAAAGTTACTAAATTTAAATTCTTTTCCACCAGCGAGAAATGATGTCAAGTCTGTGTTAAAAGCAGCAGGTCTAACATTACTTGCAGTTTAATTTAATTGCTATACCAGTTTTGTAATATCTATTCACCTATTCTTAAATTATTCTCTCTCTGTCTTTCTCTCTCTCTCTCTCTCTCTCTCTCTCTCTCTCTCTTTTTCTTTCAGACAGCATTTCCCGTGTAGTTTGGGCTAGTCTTGAACTCATTACATAGCCCAGGCTGGCATCTAACTTGAAAATCCTCCTGCCTCAGCTTCCTGAGTGCTGAGATTACAGGCATGCGCCTCCACACCCAGTTTAAATTCTATTTTCTAAAATACTGTTTCTTTTCCTTGCAGTGAATGTCTGTTTACTTAGGGATCTTTCTGCCATCAACACTCTAGGCAGACAGTGTCTCTAGTTTGATCACTCAATTTGTTGTTCAGTGTTCCTATTTTCTGTGCGTATTTTTTCTTGTTTAATTTCAAGCCTCTTTCTTTTCGAATTCATTTTCTCAGAAGAACTGCCTTGTACCTGCCCTTTGTGTACCTCCGACCGAGGGAGCTGTGTCAGTACAACGGAAGGGATCCAGCTGGCTAAAGAACTAGGAGCGACGTATCTTGAGCTGCACAGCCTGGATGACTTCTATATAGGAAAGTACTTTGGAGGCGTGGTGAGTGGATGTGTGTGTTGCGTATAGTCGTGTGCCAGGCTGGCCCTTGAGCTGTTCTCTAGAACATCCGTTAGAGCTTTAGTTTTAAAAGCGTGATTAGTCTCAGCCTAGAGCAGTGCTGGCGAGGCTATGGCGTGTGGGCCGCAGGGGGCTGCTTGTTATCACTGAACGCTCCCAAAGGTTTGCCATCACTGACCCAGAGAAATAAGAGTGAGTAGCAAAGATTTTACCAGAGTAAAATTAGACATTTTCCCCCTAAATGAAAGATTTTCCATTGTCATATTTTAGAATGTTTTGGAATCTCTTGGTGGCACTTCAGGGTCCACACGGTGCGTGTTTTCTTACACAGGCCTGTGACGTCACGGGACAGTAATCATGTTCACGCGGCTCAGTGAACTCAGCAACCTGAATCTGTGGGGCCTCATATTTCTCTTTCATTGCCATCTACCATTTGGAAGTAATGATTTTTCCTCCTCTGTTCATGCTTTGACAAGAGTTCACACCCTAATCTTGTTGGAGCTCAGACTTACGCAGAGGAGCCACTCACACGGAGAGCTTCGTGCTGGATGTTGGGAGCAAGGGCTGGCTTGCTCAGCTGTGGGACAGGGACTGCGTCTTGCAGGCATCGGGTGCTCATAGAGGTCCCCCCCGCCCCCGTATATTAGGACTGGAAGCTCCTTGGCAAAGGACCTGGGAGTTGTATTGTTTGAGATTTTCCTGACTTTGAGCTGTCTTTCCAACCCGCCAATAAGTGACTCAACAGACAGATCTGATAATCATCCCTGAGAGGTTAAAACCAGCTCCTTGTGAAGCTTGACCGCTTGGAAATTCTCCATCGGCCCCTGGCTCTGTGCTCAGTACTCTTCCCAGTGTGCCAGCAGCTGCACTGTGTACATTCGTGTAGAGACCCTGAAGTCTCCACTGGTGGCCAGAGAGCTGACTAACTGGGCTGAAATAATAGACAAATATAAATGCTGCTGATTTATATCAAATATACATGGCTATTATTTATTCAGTAATTTTATTGTAGTTGTCTTTAAAATCTTAATTGGGTAAAGAATTGTGCATTTCCCTAAATACCTGGTGGGTTGGGACAAAAAAGATGTCTCGGTGTCATTTGTTTGATGTTTCACTGGCTGGATTTGGTTTCACTTGAGAACGCGGAGGCCGACTGTGTTCGGAGCCCTGCATCTCCTGGCTTCCCATGTTGGGTTCCCAAGCCTGAGATAGGAGGGTCACTGTTCCCACCTTCCACTTCCTGCCTTTTCTTCTCTTCTTTTTCCTCTCTGTTTCTCTTTTTTCCTAGCACCGAATACTGCAACCAGGGTTAGAGGCACAATCAGAATTGAAGGTGTGATCAGGGTTGTCAGAAAGACATGGTGGTTTCTCCTCTTCCTACCCCTTGCCTCCTCCCCTCCCCCTCTTCTTCCTCGCCTTCCCCCTCCCTCTCCCCTGCTCCCCCTCCCTCTCCTTTTCCCTCCCCCTACCTCTCCTCCTCTTCCCCCCCCCCCCTCTTCCTCCCCCCCTCTTCCCCTCCCCCTCCCCCGTCTCCCTTCCCTCTCCTCCTCCTGACTTGACAAGACTATGAAGTATGATCAGAAAGATCTCCTTTTAGACTCTTTTTAACAGTAACGTGCAGCTGAGGTCCTGAGTGTAAGAAATAAAGGCATTCTCAGAACGTGGATGGAGATGATAGTATTGGAATAAGGGCATTTAACGCTGTGTGTAGGAGTCAGACATGAAGAGCTATGCAGCGCTTCCTTCAGACTGGGCAAGAAGGGCGCCTACTGGGAGCTTCAGGGAGCCCTGCCTGGCCTTCGTCCATTGCACCCCTTCCTTCCCATAGCGTACATGTCAGTGGAGCCAAGGGGATGTGCCCACCCAGAACTGGTGCGGCTGGCTCCCCTCTGAGATCTTCCCCCACCGTGATGGGAGCCAGTGCATTTGGCTATTTACACTTCCATTAATTGACATACACTAATAAAAAATTTCAGCCCCTCAAGCCTTTCAGGTGGTCTGTAGGCGCATGTAGGTGGTAGCTGCTTTATTGGATAGTGCAGATGTTATGCAGCGTTTCCATGTGCACAGAAGGTTCTGTTGGGCAGTGCTGTGACTCTGCTCCCAAACCTCAGATCCCAGAATTCTCTGCCCAGAGTCTGTGTCCTGGACTCCTGGGAGGCCTCTTTCCTGGGTTTGCCCTCCTAGTGGTGGACTGCATTGCTGGGGCCTGGCAGGGGCTCAGGGATGGCTTCATAAGGTCAAGGAGGAGAGGATGGGCAGAGATTGCATGGCCACTTGGGCACACAGAGCTCCTGGGGGTATGGGGTGGGGCTTGGCTGGACCCAAGGAGAGGTGGTCCTTGGGTCCAGGAGGTGGGAGCTTCCTTTCTTGTGCTGCAGGACCCTTCCAGGGGTCTGAGAATTTAAATCTCAGTGTGACTGTCCAGACCTTTATGTTGATATATTTGTCAAAGCAAGAGTATAGCGTATCTTTTACACGCCAGTTTTGTTTCTTGATTTGTAGCATTTAGATATCTAGTTTTGTGAGTCGACATCCATTTGTGCTTTTGGCCTTGCAGGGGAGATCACAGGCCTGGAGCTGTAGAGAGCATGTGGACAAGATCGTTGGTTTGTAAAGGACAGATTTCTCGAACAAAAGACATTTGTTCAGGAGAAAAAAGCAAATTTCCTAGCCTATAGGAACATCCATAGACATAAGCCAGATCCTTTCAGCCTTGAATTTTACTACATTATATCAACTGCACTGGTTGCCCCACTGGTAAGATTAGTGATAGCTACACAGCTGTGGTGTGTGGCTTCTTGATTATTTGAGAAAATAATTCCTTGGGTAGGTTTATTTGTGTTTCGAGAAGATACAACCTGTTCCCCTTAGACACATTTTGAAGATTAAAAGTTATGTACAAGTGTTTATTAATGCATGGTACTGAGATTAATGATTGGAAAGCTAGGTGTAGTGGTTTAATCCTTTCATCCTAGGACTCAGGAGGCTGAGACAGGAGGATCACAAGTTTAAGCCCAGTCCGGTCAATTTAGCAAAACCCTGTATCAAAATTAAAAAAATTTAAAAGGATTGGGGATCTAGTTCAATGCAGAGGCCTTGAGTTCAGTCCCTAGCACCACAAAATCAATTGGTAAAAATGATTAGAGGCACAAATAATCATATCAGAGATACTGTTTTGTTGGAGCTCTAATTGAGATTTGATTCGTGTTTTAGTTGGAATACTTTATGATTCAAGCCTTAAATCACAAGACAAGTGAAAAAATGAAGAAAAGGAAGATGAGCAGCTCCTTTCATGGAATTAGACCGCCGCAGCTTGAACAACCAGGTGTGTAGACCTTTGGTAGGTGTTTATTATAAATCATTCCCAGGCCGGGGAGATAGCTCAGCGGCATAGCACCTGCCTGGCAAGTGCGAGGTCCTGAGTTTGATTTCCGGTACCTAAATAAACAAATAAATGAATTACTCCTCACAGTGGTAGAGCACTTACCTAGCATGGGGGTTGGGTTCAGTCCCTCATGCCACACACACACACAGTACGCACTTGATACACAGTATGATGACTGTAGTTTGCAACCGCATATCATGTGGGTTTTTATGTGTTTTATGAAGAACTGAGATTAGTTTAAAGGGTCCAAATATAAAGAAATGAGATGAAAAATGCTAGTTCCTGCTTTGATTATGACCCATTAGATACATGTATTGGATAATCACACTGTACCCCATAACTATGTAGAATTCTTACATGTCAGTTAAAAGGAAATGTTTAAAAAGTAGGCATGTGGTAAGTATTTGTTGAATGTGTGAATATAGATAAAAACCAGGAAAATATAAATTCAAGTGGGAGGCCATTTCCAGTTTTAAAAAATTTCTGATATATAGGGTTTGAACTTTGTGCCTTGCAAATGCCAGGGGAGCCAGGGTCAATTATAGAAGCCCTGGGGCAGTAAATAATTCCTGGGTTGGAAGACGGGAGAGCAATCCTAAATAAATAAGGCAGCTAGCTAGTTTGTACTGATCCAGGGGAGAAAACATACCAGCTCCTCAGAGAATGTGCAACGTCCCATGTCCCCTAGCACTAGAGGAAGCTGCCCTGGGCATGTCCCACGGGCACTTGGTCTGTGGGAACAGGGTCCCCGCAGTGGCTACACAGTGGGTGCTGTCCCTACGTTCACAGGGCCGCTTCAGGTTGCTTCCTCCCCTCCGTCTCCTTGAATAATTCCTGTCCTCCTCCTCCCTCTCCTCCTCTTCCTCCTTTTCCTCTGTCTCCTGATCTTGCACTGGAGATTGAGCCCAGGGGCTCTCTGCCACGCAGTGCTGTACTCAGCGCTTTATTATTATTTACTTTGACACAAGTTCTTACTGTCTAGGTGGGACTCAAACTTGTGATCTGCCAGCCTTAGCCTCTGTCAGTGCTCAGGTTACAGGCATGTGCCAGCACGCCTGGCCTCTTTGGCGGGGGGCAGTACTACAAGCTGAACCCAGGGCCTTCATGCTGAGCTACATCCCCAGCCCATTTTTATTTACTTATTTATTTTTTTTGTTGGGGGAGGTCTTGCTATATAGCCCAGGCTGGCCTGGAACTCACAGCAGTCCTTCTGCCTCAGCCTCCTGAGTGCTGGGACCACAGGTGTATGCCAGCATGTCCCCCCAGCCCCTTTTTAATTTTTATTTTGAGACAGGATCTTGCTAAATCCCTAAGTTGCCCAGGCTGAGCTCGAACTTGTGATCTTCCTGCCTCAGCCTCCCAGAGTGCTGGGATGACAGGTCATGTGCCACCATGCCTGCCTCACAGGGCTGTACAGGCAAAACACTAAACCAACGGAGGGTCCAGGTTGAGTTGGTCTGGGCAGCGCTCTGTGGCTGACTTGTTCTAAGGACCCATCCTGGGCTCTGGGACACGCAGCTCTCAGATGCTTCTCCGCCCCTGAGGCTCTGTGAAGGTCCCAGGGCAGCAGAAGGGAGGCTGCGTGGGTGTAGTGCAGGGAGCCCAGAGCCCTTTGTTATCTGTCTCGAGCCTGGGATTTGCTTTGGAATAAAGGATTTTGGGTTTTGCTAAAGAAGTTTGAACTCTAGCGAGTCAGACAACTGCCTGTCATGGTCGCCCTTCACTTCCCTCAGCGGGGCCGGGGGGACACGCGAGACGGCAGACCTTGGAAGCTGGGGTCTGTGATGCGTGAGGGGAACCGATGGGGACTCCGCCCTGTAGGTGGTCAGAGCGATGAAGGGAAGGTGCCCACCTCCTGTGGAAACGAGGGAGCCGAGGCAACACTTCTGCTGAGCTGTGTTGAGTAGGAAAAGCTATTCTGGGAAGCGTAGTGTTGTAGTAGGAAGAAAACAGCCAGGTCAGAGTAAAACAGGCATGGTGCTTTCAAATGCCAGAATCCAAAAGGTCAGAGCTGATGCTGAGAAGAAGCTAGAGCATTTGAACAGCCTAGCCCTGGACCTGTCTTCTGCCACGGCAGAAATGACTTCAGGTGTGAAGTTGGATTCTTCAGACTTACTCAGTACTTTGTCTGAATGTTTTATCTG